CACATCTAGGCCAGAACGGAGTCCTGAAGATGACGCCGTAGAGTCCCTCCCCTCCCCGCCCCTCCCACTGCTGCCTTGTCCCCAGCACCTCCGTCTTCACCTGGTACCACCATAGCCCATCAAATTCACCCCCCTGCTCCCTTCCTTGTCCCTTCTAACCCACACCCGAGAAAGAAGCCGGAAGGATCCTACAAACAGTAAATCAGCATCACCTTCCTCCCGTACTTAAAATTCGTTACTCCCTTCCCCTGGAATAAAACCCAAGCTCCGCACCTTGGCTTATGAGTCCTGCACAGTGTGGCCCCGCCAACCCATCAGCCCCCAAGCTAAACTCAAGTGGCACTGGCCCTCCGTTAGCCCCTCAGACACACCAAGTTCCTCCCTGCCTCAGGACCTTTGCACACACTGTACCTTACGCCAGGAACACTCTCCCACCACTACCCAGAGAGACCAAGAAACAGAGAGAAGAAGGGCATCATTCCTCACTTCGCCGGCTCTGTCCCCTGCTCTAGGTCACAGGTGGTAAGTCACAGCCTCAGCAAGACTCCCTTCTACAGCAGACAGAAGTATTCTCTTGGCATGGCTGCTTTGGTTGAAGTTGTAAGCCGTGAATTTATGTTGTAAATCCAACAGATGGGCTCCCCAACCGCTCAGCATGTCTTGCCCTAGAGTCCAGGTGCCATTCCAGATTGCCCTCATCTGCCTCCCTGAGCCACTCACAGCTCAGCAACGGTCACGCCAAGCCATTCTGGTCTACTTTGCACCTCCAGTGCCCCCAGAGCTCCATCGGGGCAGAAACTGTATTCATCCTGCCCATCATGATATTACCAGCACTTAGCGCAGTGCCTGGCACACAGCAGGTCCTCAAGAAAATAGCTGCCAAATGAAGGAGTCAGGAGATCTGAAAGCATTTAAGGTTTCGAACAGACTTCCTTCCAAGACCAGGTGACATTCGAGGGGGGGGGGGGGAAGAAACACAACGCCAAACATGACATATGCTTAAGATTTTAAATTTTATATGTAAAGAAGTGAAGGGGTCTTGTACTCATTTTATTTTCTTATAAAGAGGAGCATAAAACCACTAGGCGTGCAAAAAAAGTGAAGTTTTATGGTGCAGTAAATAAAAAAGAGAAGGGTGGGGACCAATCATGGAGGGGGGAAAGGAGCCGTGGTACAGTACAGAAATAGAAACAGATGTAGAGATAAGAGACAGATCAAGAGAGAAACCAGCAAAGTACAAAACAGGGCTACGCTGCTCTTCTGGGAACGAAAGGGCAACCCTCCAAATTTCGAAAGGGGTTTTCATTGCTACCTATGGGGTAAGAGCACTTGTCCCAAGTCCCCTCTCCATTTTTCAAAGAAGGTTTTTTTTTTTTTTTTTTAATTTTTTTTTCAACGTTTATTTATTTTTAGGACAGAGAGAGACAGAGCATGAATGGGGGAGGGGCAGAGAGAGAGGGACACACAGAATCGGAAACAGGCTCCAGGCTCCGAGCCATCAGCCCAGAGCCCTATGTGGGGCTCGAACTCACGGACCGCGAGATCGTGACCTGGCTGAAGTCGGACGCTTAACCGACTGCGCCACCCAGGCGCCCCAAAGAAGGTTTTTAAAAACCGACTTACTACGCTAAAAATCAGTGGTCAGCACATTGCATTTTGAAGAGAACACAATCTATTCAAATAATTAAAAAAAAAAAAAAAAAAAAAAGACTCCACTTGGTTATCTTTAGAGAATGTGGCCGCAAACCTTGAAGTCATGCACTGGGTTTTCAAAGTTATGAGCAAGAAGAGGGATGGGGGGCATGAACTTCAACACAGCCCAGCAGAGGTCTTTCGAATTGCACATCCAGCCCGTTCCCTTCTCTGGAACGTTCCACGGCCTCAGCCTTAAACGAATGGGTAAGCAGAGCTTAGCCCACCGCACGTGGTCCAACCTCTCTGGCCAAGCCAACTGGGCCAGTGGGCCTTCCCAACCAGGCCAATTAGAATCTCCCTGAGAAATCACAATTTGGGCCCCAAAAAGGCGGTGCGGGGACAGCACATAAGATCGGCAGGCAGGAGGTGTGGGCATTTTCCCTCCAGGCTTTCTCTGCCTGGTAAGAGTGTGGAGTCGGGGGAAGATGGTCTGAGAGAGACGTGAAACATCAGGAACGTTGTAACACAGAGACAGCCAGGCCCGTGGGTCCAAATCCCAGGCCCATTCGACAGCTCTGACCTTGAACAAGTTCCTTGACATCTCCTTGACCTAACTGCGACCTGCTTTTAGGGCTCCTTTAAGGATTAAATAAATTAACACACACGGCATTGGAACAGGGTCTGATACACAGTAAATGCACGCTGCACAGTAACTATTATGATCATTCTGCGCAACCCTAAGCTCACGAGGCTGAGAATCTCTCGCTGTTTTGTACACACCCCAGCCCAGAGCCTAGAACCGCGCCCGGTACACAGGAGTGCTCAACCAGTGTTTGTTGAGCGATCGGGCCATGAAGATACCATCCAGCCCTGGGAGGACAGAGACCCCGGACAGAGCCTGCTAACTTTTCTCCTGATCCCAGCTCCTCCTCCAACAGGGCGATCCGGCCGGGTCTCGTCCAAGCCCCAAGTCAGATCACGCTTCCTTCCTGCTTTTCACGTCTCAGGATAAAGCCAAACTCTCCCCGCTGGCTACCCCAGGCCCTGCACACTCTGGCCCCTGCCTCCCTCCCTCCCTCCCTCCCTCCGTCCCCTTCCTTCTGGTCCTTCATGCTCCACTTATATTTGGCCTCCTCTGCTCCTCTAACGTGATTCCCTCTACTTCCTTCTGCCTCCAGGCACCTGCACCTGCCGCTCCCCCGCCTCCTCAGCCCCAGCCTGAGGGAAATCTTAGCATGTGTTTTTCCCTAGTTTCCACTGGCTCCTCCGTTTTACACACCCAGAGCCTCACGCTCGTTTCCTGTGTGCGACTTGCCACCGTGTGTACTTCTATCATTTGTGTGTGACGATGTAGCCGACGACTCTGGCTCCTAGACCGTGAGCTCCAGGAAGAAAGCGCTCATAGCTTCTTTTTTATTCTTCACTGTATTTTCGTAGCGAGCACGGTATATGGCAAAAAGTCGGTGCTCAACACATACTTGCGGAGGGAATGAATCCACCTGCCGAATGGGTTGACTGAACAAAGAAGTAAATTGGGGACCGGTCTCAAGTCTGGCTTCTTTCTGAGTTGAGTCTCCTAGCCTGGTTTTGCAGTCGTAGCCTCCTCATACAATCCCCCTCTTCTAATGTGCCATGAGTGAGTTTCCCTGCCATTACTAAACAGCACAGACGCACTTTGACTCCAACGCACAGAGTAACACCACCCTCTGAGCCAGGAAGCCCCGTCCTAGAATAGATAAGCCTAGACCAATAATGATACAAAGACTTCCCTTCCCAGAAAACAATTTTCATGCACGCCAGAGTGAATGGTACCAGACCAGCCCTCCCACCGTAAACAACTATAAATCGGGACAAACATCTAGAAGTCAACAACTTTCAGGCATTGGACAGCAGGCAGCCTAAGACTGTGGCCACTGAGGGAAAGGAAACACAGGAGCCCCTGTCCCCTCCAGCTCCCTGCCTGAGGACAGCTTCCACACCACCGGCGCGGAGTCACGTCCACCAAGCACCCAAAAAGGTTATTGACACCGCATGGCAAACACCTTGGACTTGCCACAGATCCGCCATAACAAAATGTGAAATCAAGTCTACACAAGTATAAAGTGGCCAGTCAGCTGCTGCTTCGCCTTTGAAGGAAGATAACAAAATCCAGAGTCTCTCTGTCCAGTAAATATATTATCATCACAATATTAGAATATAGTCAACAATTACTAAACATGCAAAGAGAAAGGAAGGTGCGGCTCACGGTCAAGGAAAAGAAGCAATGAATAAACACAAATGGCAAAATAGCTGTGATGGCAGCTCCAGAAAAAGCAACTGCCAGGACGTGGAAGTTCCTATTATTATCACAAAAGTCCTTAACCAGGTGTATACACCCAAAGCGCCTATGGAGATTTCAGAGATTTTGGATTTTTGTTTGTTTGCTGATCTCAGCTCTACTCATGTTATGCAATGTCTCATTGAGTAGTTTCAGGGGATGCTTAGGAATCCGCCGTTTTCACAACCTCTCTAGAGGCTCTCATGAATACTACATCAGATTCTTATCATAGAATACATCCACCTTAAGGCAAATACAAATAAAAGTTAAATTTATACGTATTGAAGGTTCTGCTTAATCGAGTTGGTTGGTGGGCACCAATCAGCACTCCCTGGTTGAACAGATTACACAACTAAGAAAGATCATTTCAACTTGAATTATTTTGCAGAAAAACGCACACTTCTCTATTTATTTTGACTGAAATAAAAACTGAGGTTAAATCAAAAGCCACAGACGCAAAAGATAATGATTAAGAAGAAAAAACTAGAGGAAACGCTCATGGTATAATATTTTAAAAATCAGAAAACCAGCTACTATAATGTCAAACATTTAAATGTATATGAATAGACATTGCCATGTTTGCGAACAGAAAAAAAGGCAACAAGAAATAGGTCGAAATGCTAATAGTATTTCTGTTATGTTTAATTTTAATTTTCCCGTTTTTCTATACTTCACAAGAGTGTATGGATTTTCCTCAGTGGACTCTCCTCTGAAATTTAAACACAAAATAATGGCTTCCGAAACCTTCTGTCAACACACAAACCCCTGCAAAACTCTAGCAATTTTTCAATCAGAAAGAGAAGAGAAGAAATAACTTAAGAATATCATTTCTATCCTTATCCAGCTCAGGAAGACTTTCTTCTCTGGTCTCTGAGTAGCTGGACTAGTTTCTGATCCTACTAATTCCATCTCAAATTTCCCATCTGTTAGACGAGTAGGAGGCCGAGACACATACCACAACCCAACAAATAATAGGCAGTGGCTGAGCGAAAATCGATCACTTAATAGAAATGAAAGACACAAAAAGGAAAAGAATTCAAGTCCATACCTGAACGACAGGGTGGCCACCAGTTGGAGCTTTGACAGCCCCTCGGCTGCCTTCTGTCTCATAGTGGGCCCGGTGATGTGGCTTGGGCTGCACCTCAATCCGCAGCTCATAGGACCCCGACTGGTGGGAGAGTGGCCACTCAAGCGGAGGGAGGGATGCGGTCACTGGAATACTGAAGGAGGAAACAGAATCAGTCGTGTGTACAAGAAATCAGAACCAGTCGACCTGTACAATAAACGTAAATGGTCCCTTTTCTGAAAAATCATGTCAGAGGGTACAGGAGTAAAGTACTGGCTGTTGGAAAGCACATATTTCTCAGACAGAATAGGTAGGATTCTACTCAAGTGAGAGATCTTTGTCTTTGTTTTCTCTTCCACCTTTGATGAAAACAGTGTGACTGACATCTCAGTTTGTGAAGCTAATTTCATTACATGTGAGTTCTAGCATATTTCTAAATGTTACCACTCCTTGTCCTCTGGGAATTTTGAGGAGTACCATCTCCTTCCTCTAAAAATCACCCCTTACCCAGAATGTTCTCCCTTTCCAAAGGAGTAAGTGTGGGAGAAATTACCTGAAGTGGAAATCAGCAGCCCACGTGTGTCACAGATGTGCAATGTGACCTTAGGCAAGTAACCTCACCTCTTTTATCTCCAGTGTCTTATAATAACATATCAAATGGACCAGATGGCACCTGAGAGTTGTTTCAGTTCTTATTTCCAAGTCTGATGCTCTCGATTAAAAGCTGCTTTTAAGGAGAGACCATTTCTAGTCACAGCCATTGGCTCTCAGGACCAGTAAAGAACATCTAACCATAGAGAAGTGTCTGATTTTGGTATGGATGAGTCAAACCACCGGACCCCTAAATTTAAAGGAAGAGGAGAAGTCAAGAACATGACCGGAGTTACCCACCCGTGTTTAAGTCCAAGCTCCACCTCTAGCTACTTTGAGCAGATGCCTCTATTAAGTTTCCCTGGGCCTTAAGTTTCCTCCATTGTGAAATGGAGCTACGGAGATCACATGAAGAGCTTAGCACAATAACTACTCAATAAATATCAGGCTATAATCATGTTTCCCTGTATATACACTCCATATTTCAAAGTTATCTCCTATACTCTAATTTACTTGTGGTTATAGTATTAGATATATAGGCCTTTACATCTGAAGTTGTAATGACAGCCATTAAGTTTCATTTTCTTATAGAATCTTAACCCTACCCAGCACACCCAACAGGTACTTGACACGTGGTTAGAATCATGTAATTAAAGAGTTGGCTGAGGTCTTAATGATCTACCTAGACCATTCCTTCAGAGTCTTAGGGAACACAGATATTTTCCCAAGATTACAAGGCTCCAACTTATGTCTCTTGACTCTCAGTCCAGTGCTCCATGCACGTCTCCATGCTACTAGAGATATGCTACTTCTTATCTTACTGATTTATTTAAAATAGGGCCAAGAAAATATCTCACTTATAGAATGGCTCTGGAACAATACTCGATATTTGATAGGTTCTCGGTCAGTAGTCAGTGGGTGGGTGGGTAGATGGCTGGATGGCTAAATGAATGAATGAGTGAGCAGTCTTATTCCAAAGAAGCCCCATATATTCAAAGTAGCTCCAAAGTTGGAAATGCATGGATTTGTGTCACTATGTCCTGATTTTGTACATGTGGCACCAATCGTTAATCCAATCAGGATATTCTTTTCCACTAAGCCTGGAGCTTCTAAAAGCTACCCTTATAGGGGCGCCTGGGTGGCGCAGTCGGTTAAGCGTCCGACTTCAGCTCAGGTCCCGATCTCGCGATCTCGTGGTCCGGGAGTTCGAGCCCCGCGTTGGGCTCTGGGCTGATGGCTCAGAGCCTGGAGCCTGTTTCCGATTCTGTGTCTCCCTCTCTCTCTGCCCCTCCCCCGCTCATGCTCTGTCTCTCTCTGTCCCAAAAATAAATAAACGTTGAAAAAAAAAAACTAAAAAAAAAAAAAGCTACCCTTATCAACTGGTCTTAGGGAAGCACTTGCAATGAAACCAATTCCATTCCTTCTCCATCATAGCAGTACCAAGGGCAATGCAGTGGGACCCCATAAACCCCATCAGTGCTGAAGTCCAACTCGAACATGCAGTCCAACTTCAAATTATGTTGTCACAATGCAAGCAAATCTCCATCTCTTCTTTGCAACTAGATCACCTCCTGAAGCCCCCCCTTGCCCTGCAGTCTTAGAGCGTCCACCTCAGTTTCGGTCCCAACATGCCTTCTAGCTTCTGCCTGCAGCCAAGGGGCCATGTGTCTTACACACTCACACTCTTCATCATGCGAGTTAATTTTTTTTAATTTGCAAAATAAGGCTCATAAAAATATCACTTTACCCCTGTTCTAATATCTTTTGAAGTATCAAAAATATTCAGGGAGGAGAAGACCCAGTGGGCTATCTCTGAGTATCAACTTCAAATTTTGTTTGGTTCCGGAACAAGTCTTTGACGACTACAATACAATCTTAAGAATTAGACCATCAGAGCCAATGTGAAATTCTGCATTTGAATTCCAGCCCTCAGCCCCACACACCCGGAGACAAATGTTATCATGAGACTTCCCTGAACGTCCTATCTTCTCGATCTTACAGAAAACTGTCACAAACATCTCATCAGCTGGCACAAATTGGCCCTCCTAGGGACTAAAGTGGTCAGTATCGTTTGGACCAAGAGTAGAGAAGGAAGGACAAACGATAAAGTCTTTATAAAGTCTCAGACAAATGCAGCACAATCATATTTTATATTCATGTTCCTCCCCAATCTCAATCATTAAGTAAACCACGTTTCACAGACTGGTCTGTAGCAGAAAGAATAAGGAGTCAAGAATTTGAGATTCTAAGTTTCCAACTCTGTCACTGACTAGCTGGGTGACCGTGGCCACGTCCGCTCGCCTCACCAAGCCCAGGCTTCTCAACCTGCAGCAGGCGCTGGCCTTGACCAGCATTTCCTATGGTGGCTCCATACGACTTTGGTCACAGAACTAAGAGCCCCGTGGCCAAACGGCCTTTGAGATTACTGCGCGTTCTGTCCACAGCTGGGAGTGGCCCCTGCATAAAGATATCTGTTTAACTCTGTTAAACTCAGAATCTCCTTTTCTAAGGAACACCCATCGACCTGTGATGGCACCGGTGTTCTCAGAACCGCTCGGGAAGAAGGGCCAGACTGGAAGGCCCCTGTGGTCCGCTTTGGTCTGGTGTGGGATAAGCAAGGCCCGGGGGACAGAGCCCTCAACTACTCTCACCTCATCAATCACAACAGCCCCACCAAGATCTATTTTGGTGTTCAGTTTAGTATTTGCATAAAAAAAAAAAAGTTTCCCATTTGCTAAAAGCAAACGCTCTGAAGAATCAACGGCCTCATCCTATTACCGTATGGTTTTCAAAGTGTCAGGATGATTTTTAGCTTCGCTTTCATGGAACGTCATGTGCTTCTAACCTCTGGGCGCCTCATTTTTCTTAGCATCCAAATGAAGATAAAAATAATACCAACTAGATTTACTGGAGAATAAAATGATCCGTGGGCAATACTTAGAGTTGTGCCTAGCACGTGGCAAGCATCCTCAAATGCTGGTGATCATTATGGTCACTGTCATTCCTCTAACAACCATTGGGAGCTCAATCTTCTAGGACGAGGCTCATCCAGGAGAAAGTACTTTCTAAAGTGCCTCCCTGATAAGAAGATTCCCCTCTAAAACACAGCAGCTGCCCCTTCTTTTCACTCTTACTTTGTGCAGGCTTCGTGCCAAGAATTTGATACATATCCTCACACCTTGCAAAAAAACAAAAAACGAACGAAAAAACAATGAGGTGGGGACTAACCCACAGGGAATGAGTCAAGGTTTAGTAAGGTGCTCAGTGAGAAAGGGGATCCTGATTGATTAGCAATGTCTGCCTTGGGCACGGCATCCCAGAGATGCTGGATGAGAAAGCGGTCCTGCACGGCTAGTGATGCCTGTCATGGACACAGCAGGAGGGCAGCACCAGACATGCCCACAATCACACAGCCCCCGAGGGGTGGAAGCAGGACTCAAACCCGGTCCCGGGGGACCCCAAAGCCTACACACCGCCAGCTACACGCAGCGCTTCGGCTTCCCACGATTTCAAGCTCCTCGAGGACAGCAGATGCGAAAACCCACCAATTCCTCTTAGCGGAGGCTGGTAAATGCCCCGTATAAAGGCTTGCTCTGTGCTTCCCAGAACGTCCCCTCCACGGAGGCAGAAATTTCTGCCCGGTTTGTTCACCACGGCCTCCCCAACACCCACAGCAGTGCCCGCCTGGCACATAGTAGGTGCCTGATAAAACCCTGTCGCCGGAACGAATGCGCGAACCGGCCAGGGGCCATCGCAGGCATGCTCCCGACCACCTGGGGAGTTCCGGGGGCCCACGGAGAAACCACAGCTGGGAGAACTGAACCCCCCCACCCCCGCCAAGGTCTGGCAGCCAGGAGGCGGGACGGCCTGGGTGTGGACGCGGCCTGTCCCAGACGCTAAAGCACCACGCGCCCCCGCCCCCACCCCCGGGGAAACCGGTCCCCTCGGAGCCCCGCTCACCTGCAGAGGGGAAGGGCGGGCACCAGCTGCTTGGGCCACGTGGGCGGCATCAGCAGGATGGACTCGGGGGCCGAGTTCCTCCTCTCCTCCTGCTCGCAGGGGCCCAGAAATTCCACGGCGGCCGGGTACAGGTGGCGGGGCAGGCCGGCCTTGGGCGGGGCGGCGGACACGGGCGCCGGCTCGGGGCTGGTCTTCCACATCTTGGGGGGGATGCCGCAGGGCGAGTCGGCGGCGAGGCTGTTCAGGGCGTCCATGAGGACGGCGGAGCCGGCCGCGGCGGGGTAGCCGGCGGGGGCGCCGTCGTCCCGGGGCTGCGGCGAGGGGCTCCGGGAGCGCTGGGGCGAGGCTCCGGGCAGCGGGGCGACCGGGGCCCCGGCACACGAATGCCTCCGCTTGGCGCCAGGCGACGAGGAGCGGGAGGCCGGACGGGGCGCGGGCGAGCGGCGGCCCAGGCAGCTGTCCTCAGCGAGGCCGGTTCGAGGTGACATTATTGGCGAGGTTCTGGGGGAATAATGAGCAGGGATGTTTTGAAACTGGGGGCACAGGTCGTCGGGCCCGCCGTTATTGGGCGAGACGCAGGGCGAGGTGTAGGGGGAGAAGGTGTCGGAAACGAAGCTGGCAGAGGAGCCGCTGCTAGCCGGGCTCAAGCAAAGCGGCTCGCGGTAGCCCTCGAAGCCGGGCACGGGCAGCGTGAACCGCGGGCTGGCGGCCGCCCCGGCCAGGGCCGGCTGCTCCCCCAGCAGGCCAGCGTCTCTCCCGCGGAGGGGGCCCCCTGCCTGCATCAGTTCGTGAGATGGAGTGATCTCGATCCGAGGGCTCAGGCCCGAGGCCCCGGCTGGCTGGGCCGCGCTCAGAAAGTTCTGCGGCCCTACCCTATCCGGCTCTCCGAATCGGCCGGGGGGCTCGCCCGGGAGACTGGGGAGGGGGCTGTATGGCTTGAGGCCATAGTCCAGGACATCATCGGGGTATGCGAGTCCGGAGGGTGGGCTGGCGACCTTATGTGCATTCGGTTCTTCTGGAAAGAGAAGGGGGGGAGGGAGGGGTCTTTTTAAGCCTCTAAAACAGAACTCCCGGGCAGAACAATCCCAGATCGGGTTTGGCTCCTGTTTTTCTTCTTTGTTTTCTTAATAATCCCCCCCCCCGCCCCCCCCCCCCACCCCCGCCGCCTGTGCCAAACCCCGAGCTGGAACCTCCTTCCCTCACCAGAGGAAAGTGAGGCCACTTCATCCCCTATTCCTTGAAGACAGAGATGGAAGCGGAAAGATTTTAGTGCAGGTGCACAGAGCACAGCTCCTCCAAGCCACGCTGCCCTAGCCAGAGGCCCGGCAGGACGCCCCGGGCCAATGACGTCCCAACTTTTGGTTCAGGGGGACCCTGGGAAGAAACGTGTCTTTACTCCACGACTCGGTTCACACCCTCTCTACTGGAGCCTGAAACGAAGCTTCGCAAAAACAGTACTTACCCTCACCTTTCCTCTTGTCTGGGGTTATTTGGTTTAAGTGCTGGTCACAAGTCACTGAACAGATTTCCTGGCCCACCAGTGGGTCAGGACCCACGGTCTGAAAACCACGGACGCAGGCTCGTTTCAACAATTTGCACGTTTGGTACAGCCATGGGACGCACAGGCAGACTGCACCGGCTCTGAGTCCCAGGAGCTCTGGGTTCAGACCCCAGCCGCTCACGCTCAAGGGTGACTAGTGGCTTCGTTTAAAACCAGGACCCCTGAGTCGCATCTTATCTTGGGCCATTTTACAGACGAGGAAACTGGGGCCCAGGGAGGGGAAGGGATTCACCCAGAGGCACAGAGTTAGCAGGATGAGAAATCCCACAGACCAGCCCCTTGGTCCTCAAAAGGCAGAGCCACGGCTAAACGGTGTCCCAAACCATAAAAAAAGCAGCGGATGCAGAAGGACCGGATTTTTCTTTAGTAGCGGCCTTCTGTCTTAGGTTTCTGCCGCCACCTCAAAGGACAGACTCTGGAGAGTGGATTTAGGGAGGGAAGGAGCTGTTCCAACCAGCACCCTGACCCTGGGGGAACTCCTCCTCTCAGTAGAGGCCCCTCCCACCTCCCTGTGGGGGCTTGGTTCAGCCTGACCCCTCTAACGCGCCTTCCTACACCCAAACCATAGCGAGTCCTAACGACCCTACTGTCAAAACAGAAGCCACATTTGCACCACAACCCCCCTGGCCTGAGACGCCGGCCCGTCCTCTCTCGCCTGGACGTCAGTCACCTCCTCCCTGGGCTCCCCACTTCTGTCCTCACCCCCTCCAGTCTGTTCGCCATGCGTAGCCCCTTGACATGCCCGCCTGCAAAACTTTAAAGGCTTTCCCAAATGTGATCTGAAGCCCCTGAGCCCCGGTCTGTCTCACTATTCGTACCTGCCCATTTTCCCAGCCTGACTCAGCAACGGCCCCGCTGACCTCTTCTTCAGATATCTCCCGCCTTCAAGTTCAAGTGCCGTTCATTCTGCTGGAAACCCTCCCCCCGAGATCTTCACATGGCCGCGTCCCTGAATTCCTCCATGTGTCTGTTCAGCCAACGCTTCCTTAGATTGGCCCATCAGAAAGACTCCCTCCATCCCCACCTGTCGCTCTCCACCCCTTTTCCCTAACACCCGTTGCCAGCTGACACATCAGATATTATCTGTTTAGGGAGTCTCATCCTGATAGATCAGGGGCAGGCAAACGGACCGTGTTTGTAAATAAAGTTTTATTGGAAAGCACCCATTCCTGTTTGTTTACATACGGTCTGTGGCTTGTTTTTGTACTACAGCAGCAGAGTTGATGGGGGCGCCCGGGTGGCTCAGTCGGTTGAGCATCCGACTTGGGCTCAGGTCATGATCTCACGGTTTGTGAGTTCAAGCCCCGTGTCTGGCCCTGGGCTGACAACTCAGAGCCTGGAGCCTGCTGCAGATTCTGTGTCTCCCTCTCTCTGCCCCACTTGTGCTCCTCTCTCTCTCAAAAATAAACATTAAAAAAATTTTAAAAACAATAGCCACGTTGATAGTTGGAATAAACACTCTATGGCCCACAAAGCCTAAAATGTTATCTGGCCCTTTATAGAAGATTGTGACCCATGTGCTAGACTCTATGCTCCACGGGTGCCGGAACCGTATCTATCAAGGTTCAGCACTGGGTGCCAGATACCTAGCACAGGCTGTCCATAAACATTTGCTGAGTGAGCAAACAATGGAAGAATCCTGTCCAAGGTTCATGTAGCCAGAAATGGGACCTCTTCCTCAAGTTGGATGCCTGGCCCTTACCCTGGGGATCCTCTGCCTCCTCGGTGTCCTTTCTGGACCATCGTGGAGTAAATGCTGCCTGGTTTAGCTGGGCTGATCTCATGGGGTCCAGAGGGTACCCCCTCCCCAGGTGAGAGCCCCGAAACGGCTTCTCACAAGTCTTAGGATAAAGATGAACGATCTCAACTAGGCCAGCCAGGCCAGGCCCTGCCTGCCAGCTCTAGCCTCACCTCTCTCTACTCTCCCTTGGACTCCGGCCAAACTGTCTTTCTGTTCTTAGAAAGCAACTACCTTCTTTCTGCCTCAGGACCTTTGCACTTGCGGTGCCCTCTGCCACAACTGCTCCTCCCCCACCCCACCCAGGCCCCTTCTCTACATAACTAAAGCCACTCATTCCTTCCAGCTAAAGTGTCGTGTGCTGGGGAAGGCTTCCTGATCTCCTTGGCTAGATCAGAGACCACTCACGTTTCTCTGTTCTGTCCATACACTTCCCGAAATTCCAATTAAGAAATTGTGAAGTTGTTTATTGCCTGCCTCTCTTCCAACCTCCAGCTCCACCCCTACCAACAGGAAATTCCATAAGGGCTCTCTCACCCCTTAGGGCATCCTAGCACCTGGACAGCCCCACCCAAAATATGTGTCGGTTGGCTGAATTTTAAAAAAAGGGGGGGAGGGGGAGTTCAGAAAAGTCTATGTGAAATATTTCAACTACTACTCAAAGATGCTAATATCCAACCCAAACGGTAGAAAGACCTAACCTCGAGAGAGGCCAATTCGTTAACATCTACCAAAATTCCAACATACCTATCTTTGGACCTAAGCAACGTAGCTTTAGAATTTATCTTGCAGGGGCACCGGGTGGCTCAATTAAGCGTCTGACTTTGGCTTAGGGCATGATCTCACGGTTCGTGGGTTCGAGCCCGTCATCAGGCTCCCCACTGACAGTGGGGAGCCTGCTTGGGATTCTCTCCCTCTCCTCTCTCTGCCCTTCCCCCACTTGCGCATGCGTGCACGAGCTCTCTCTCTCTCCCAAAGATAGATAAAACTTAAAATTTATTCCGTGATAAACCCTCATATGTGCAAAATGCAGTGTGTGGAAGATTAGTTAATACTGCCCTGTCGGTAATCCCAAAAGACAGGAAGCCATCTAATGTCCATCAGTTGGGGATGGGTTGAATTCCAGTTTGTTCCAACAATGGGCTATACGGGGGCGCCTGGGTGGCTCAGCCGGTTAAGCATCTGACTCTTGGTTTTGGCTCAGGTCATGATATCACGGTTCGTGGGTTCGAGCCCCACATCGGGCTCTGTACTGACAGCGCGGAGCATGCTTGGGATTCTCTGTCTCCCTCTCTCTCTGCCCCTCCCCCACTCACGCTGGCTCTCAAAATAAACAAACTTTAAAAAAGCAAAAACAGGGGCACCTGGGTGGCTCAGTCAGTTAAGCAATCAACTCCTGATTTCAGCTCAGGTCAGGATCTCACAGTTTGTGGGTCCGAGCCCTACGTCAGGCTCTGCACTGACGGTGTGGAGCCTGCTTGGGATTCTCTCCCTCTGTCCCTCTCTCTCTCTCTCTCTCTCACTGCTTCTCACCTGCTCATGCACTCAAACTCTCTCTCAAAAATAAACTTAAAAAGGTTGTGAGCTGCTATGAGGTACAGTTTACAGCAAGTGTAAACGTTTAAGACAAAAAACAATACTGCTATATAAAGGGTTTAAAAAGTTCTTTCAGCCTTGATATGAAATGACCACAAGACACAGGGGCAAAGAAAAGCAAGGTACCTACAGTATGCACAGTACAAAAACAGAGGATAAGAGAATGTACACACACACACACACACACACACACACACAGCTGCTGGGTGTTCAGCCTCTCTCTGCAAGTTATAGGTAACAGGGACTTCTTCCAGGGAAAGGAACTAACTAAGTCATCAGGCAGGGGAGGCACGCCCAAAAGAGATTCTGTTTCCTGTATTACCCTGAGAAAAGAAACACAATTCCCAAAAGAATCAGGTTTTTATTTTATTTTAAAGGTGATGGGGCCTAATAGGATACACGGCAATGACACCTTGGTTTAAGAAGCAGGAAACTGAAACCTAGCCCTATGCTGCCACCAACCAGCTATGTGACCTTGGAAGAGACCCTCACCCCGACTCCAGGTCTCAACCTGCCCATTCATAACAGGACAGCACTAAACCAGATCCGTTTCCTTGGTCACTTCTGGCTGGGATTTTTCTAGCTAGCGTCTGTAGGTTCTCACGTTCCCAGTCAACAACAACACACACACGGACACCTTCCTGGCAGGTAACGGAGCGCAGATTTTTCTTCTAGCAAGAGATCAACATCAAACCCGGGTCCCGCGACATCCTGGTAATCCACTGCCCTGCGAACCAGCAAAAACAAACCACAAAACGTCTCTTAGCAAAAATTCTGGCCTTATCAGAAAGGGCCGCATCACATCTCCTCAGAAACACCCCGCTTCAGGGCTGATGCGAACAGTCGCAGAAACTCGGCCCTGAAAACACACATCACTCACCCTCGCTGGCAGACTGCGCAGAACAGAAAGGCCGGCTTGCTGAGCAAAAGCATCCAGAGCATTTACACTGGTTTTAATTAATCCGAGCAGCTGACTTTTTCCGTCTTTCTTTTTCCTCTCAAGATTCTGAAAGCTTCACAGCAAGCAGGGAATGTGAAGGTAATTTATCACTGTTCCATTCTCAGTCTTCTGGGTATTTAACAGTAAGCATCCCAGACGCACGGCTCAGGGCGAACACGT